CGCCAACCTGACTCTAAAGTGTATCCCGAAGCCATTTTCTACCTCTTACTCTTACTAATTAGAAGAAACAGCTGTTTCTGTACGTTGAATGTGTTCAGTTCGTGCACAATAACATAAGGATTTTTTTGTTCCCAACGACTTTCAATGTGTATATTATACTTTGACCAAAAAGTGCCTTTATTCTATTTTGGGCAACTGCAATTATTTGGGTTGCTCAAACATATCCGCCTGGCGAGTACACTGGCTCCTGCTGTCCCTAAACTATATATCAATTGTAATAGTGTATATAGAACTGAATTATTGTCAGGCCGCAGATAATTCGAAACATGTAAAGTAATTCTTTGATTTTCGGGGTTAGACTCAAACTGTCATGGAACAAATGATAGTTCGAGTCTAATCCCCAAAAACTGCTTTCTAGCAATAAAGTTATTCACTTTTGAACGAGTTTAGTTGTCAAATAATTACTTTACATGTTTTGAATTATAAAATAGCGATCCATGGGCCACGATAGCCACGGTATTTGGTTGATATTTCCAGTGGCGGCGCTGCAGGGAGAGTATGGGAAGGAGTTGGTTGGGGCTGTAGGGTGATGGTGGGGCATGGCATGTGGAGGCAGGGGCAGGCGGATGTGGATTGGCAGGCGGGTGAAAGCGGCTGAGGGCAGGTACAGCAGATGAGTGCATTGAGGTTGTTGGGCAGGTGATGACGTGACGGCTCACATGGAATCTAAATCAAACCCTGAGAAAAAAAACGCCAGGTCTTTTTTATATGACATGTTCTGTCAATGAGCTTTCTCCGTCTTTGAACAGTTACAGCAACCCGTCCGCGTGGACCGTTCAACTCGGTAAGCTGTATGCATCCAGTAACATCGACGCGTCTAACGGCGAGTACGAGAGCGGCGTGTCACAGGTCATCATTCAAGAGGGCTACAACCAAGTCACATCGGATAATGACATCGCTGTCATGGTGTTGTCCAACCCGCTCCCAGCGTCCAATAGCTTCGTCAACTTTGCCTGTCTGGACTTGAATAGGACCAGAACCTTTGATTCTACCTCCAACTGCTTCACCAGTGGATTCGGCGCTCTTTCTTGTGAGTGTTGTTGAAAGCATACATATACATTTCAGTTATGTTGTAATTTTAATTGGATGCAACCTCGTTACTTCTGTAACCCAACCGTACGAAATGAGTATGAAGAACATTATTTTAAACCTTACTCATTTTGTATTTGTATTAAAAAGAACAAACTACGTTCTTACATACTTTGGTATGTAACAGTTTGATAACCCACACCACCGTGTTTTTCTTTACACGAAATGCTACTAGCAAGAGATTCGCCCTCTGCCCCACATGAAAAAAAAACCCGTTTATTATGTGAAACGGTCTTTTCCTAGGAATTTTGCTAAAATTGTTTTTATGGCCAGCAACTCGAAGTTGCTCTGGAGACTTCTAATGTCGCACAGTATGGCCACATTATGTCAATTGAAGCTTAAATTGATCGTCAAATACGTCCCTAACAACTCTGATGTTTTAAAGAAGTTGTCAAACTAGCATTTTCGTTTTCTCGTAACTTTGGTGTGCTTTCATTTGTTGAATTGATCTAGCTGGAGGTAGCTTGGCAACCGTTCTCCAAGAGGCAAATGTTCCACTCATTCCTAGGACTACGTGCAACGGACCCTACAACTACGACGGCGAAGTAACCACGAACATGCTGTGTGCTGGCTACGTTGAGGGCGGTATTGACTCCTGCCAGGTAAAAAGCAATGGAACAACCACATCGCAGCCCCAACCCATCCACGGAAAATAGGGGGAAGGAAAGAGAAAAGAAGAAGCCTGAAGCAAATGCTTGAATTTTGAAAAATGATGTGTTCCCCATTCTTTTTTTGAGTTTTACCCCGAAAAATAGGGTGTTTTTTTTCAATTGCTGTTTTCCAAGCAATTCAAAAGGTACTCACTCTCTAATGAGACATCAACTGACACAAAACTCCACCAAAGTATAGTTATTGAATTATTTTGTTTCCAAAAAATAAAATATTGCCTGCAAGACTATAATCTGGCTCTCTCATGACGGATTCACTATTTTGTGAAAAAATGAAAGCCCTTAATTTTTAAAAGGGTTGCAGATGCCGAGCATTGGAATATAAATATTGTTTTAGGTCCTTAGGACCTGAATTTATCTGGTTTGTTCCGAGTGGTTCTGCGCTATTTGACAAAGCTTAATGTAAAAGCGCAATATCAAAAGTTTACAAAGCTACCATGTAAATAAAACTGTCTGTATGCAACTGTCAACATACACTAAATATTTCTAGATAGACACACGCATAAGATATAAACTTGAAAAAGATTTACATTTTACAATCACGATGGCCATTTCTAATAATGTTTGCGTATTGTTGTACACATTTCGATCTGTTTCCAGGGTGACTCTGGTGGCCCATTGGTGTGCGCATCAAAGGACAACGCAGCTGACGTCGAACGCTGGTACCTGGTCGGGGTTACCAGCTGGGGATATGGCTGTGCTCAGGCCAACTATCCAGGTGTCTACACTGATGTGTCCCAGTACATAGACTGGCTGCAGACCAAGATGGCCTAGATGACAAACGTTGGCAAATATCGGTGTCACTTTAGGTAGTCAGGATATAAGACACGTTTTTAGGGTGCAGATCAGTAAATGGACCCGAAATATCTATGCCGGACGAATCACGATTTGTAGGCCTTTACTGTCAAATTCTCTCTTGATAGAGGGTGAACTTAATGACCATAGCTTTATTATAAACTAGGGAAGTAAGCTTGTTATTGTTATCATGCACCACTCATCTCCATTGTCTTGGAAATGGTCTGTGAAAACTATCTTGGGAAAGTTTGGTGTAAAACGTGAGCTTATCCAGACTCGCATCTAGGTTCAAGCAGTACCTTATGAAAACATAAACAAACAAGATGTTTGTCTTTTGATGACCTTTTGCTGCAGCTGAGTTGTATTTTGTATACGTATGTTAAATGGTATCTTCTGACATCTTCTGACATATGCAATAGCCCACGTACACATTGTTGTCAGGAATCGATGACATGTACACCAACTTTTTGGAGACACAGATATTGCGCCAAATCTTTCTGTATAGAATGGCCTCTAAGGTCACCAGGTTGAACTTCTTGTTTGGTGGGGTATTTAACCAGGTTTTTAGCAATCCGCCTCCTAACCTTCAGGATTTGTAGGGTCTGCAATATTCAGACAGGCCATGGAAGATATGCTCCGAAGATACACTTGGCCAAGGTGTTTAATCTATATCTTCATCATTTGACAGAAAACCTGTTTTGTTCATGTGTTCATAAATTCAATTCACCTTGAATCTACCTCTCTTCATGTCCGGATGTACTTATCTTTGACTTCTAACTGTCAAATGAAGATTTTCGAATACCTTTGTCAAGACTATGGACCTAAGTGATGCTTGTCCAGAGAAATGCAAACAGGATGAGAGTGGACAACTAACTGCACCTAGGCATAGGCCTACAGTTTATGATAAAAATAGCACTAATAGTCATAAAGTTTATAACTTGGTCAAATTGACCCTTTGTTTGGGGATTACCTTATGGGGGACACCTTAGGAAGAGTTTTGTTGCCTATGCACTTATGGGTTTATAGCAATGAAGGGTCCAACCACCTAACAGGACAGTCTTCGAACTTGTATTTCTGGGAAATTTAGGACGAAATTAGACCCTGGAGCGGATGCAAGAATTTTTGCAGGGGGGGTCATCAGAAAATTAATGCGGAAATGTAGACCTTTTTTTCTCCGGACACTTGGCCTCCGTAAAATCAATATTTGGTGATGGTAAGGTGGGTATCATTGCTATCTGGTAATTTATTTGCTGGTCTGCACCCATGCTACGATTGTTTCTTAGCGACTGATTCACCAATGGTACCAGATTCATATCGTTTTTTAGTTTTATAGTCAAAGCCCACTTTGATTTAATATCTCGTGAAATTATTTTGACTTTTTTTTCTTGAGAACATATAATTATTTTGCAGCATTTCATGCAGAGAATTTACATTGTGATCTAGACTTTATAGTCTTTTTTTTCAACGGTCTTAGATATGAGTCATTTGATTTTATATTATCTATAGGTTTTTATTTCACCAACTGAACTATATGATCTTTTATAATCATTTCCCATGAATGAGTTGAATAAAGTTATGCGTTACTACTGGCAAATTTTTCTTTGTAGATTGATTGCTGTGAACATGTATATTGCTTCATTTTGTAACACACATCCTCCCTCAAATGGGAAGTATTAAAGCTCTCGATATATATTGCAATCAATAATGGGGTGCTGTGGTCCAATGGTTACGGTGTTCGACTCGTGTGCCATGGCACATGGGTTCAAATCCCGACCTTGGGAACATGGTGCTTGTGCTCTTGAGCAAGGCACTTTACAATTATTGCTTCGTTCTTCGGATGGGACGCCAAGCCGTAGGTCCTGTGTGTTGTGTAATGCACGTTAAAGAACCCAGTTACACTTATTGATAAGTGAAGGGGTTTTCCCCGGTGTTTGTTTCTGGCAGTGGCTGCAATATACGCCGCAGCACCTTGTAAATTCTTATAAAGGTGCAACATAATGGGTATCATAGTTCTCATTAACTTGAGGGCCTCCATGGAAAGCAGTGCTTTGCACTGATCGAAGTTTACCCTCATTAAAGATGACGTAAAAAAGGGCGTTTCGGGTGGGAATGTTTCCCCCTTTAAATAATATTTAAAAAAAAACAGTTTTAGTCCACAATCAGCAATTCCGCGAAAGCACATAATAATTGGCTAAACATGAAGTGATTTTGTTCTTTAATGTTCAAAAATCAGTTACGAGAGGTTTAATGTAATTAAATACATTACTCAAGAATTAATTAAGCGAAAAGTTAAATTTCAAAACCGCTGTTTTCACACTGTTTTTTTCTTTCTTTAAATTTTGAATATTTTTGAAAATGTTCACGTTTTTTAAATGGATTATCGCGTTTTGAAAATGAACTCTTCAAATCATTAAAATACTTTGATTGAGTAGTAATTTTAAGTAAGATAACACTCACCCACTAATATCGGTGTAATAAAAGCACGAAAATTCACCATTACAATAAGTGTGGTTTTTGAAAGCTCTAATAAGGCGGGTAAAATTATAACTTTTGTTTTATACTTTTCACGATGTAGGTTCAATTTACATGTGTACGTTGCATGTTTTACTTGAAACAGATTTTTTTCATAATTTTCACAAATTACATGCCAAGCAAATTGAACAAAAGGAAATTGAAAAGGGAAGGAAATTGAAAAAAAGAAAGTGATGTGGCGTGTATGGTTTAGCAATGTCAAATGTTATTGCATTGTACACGAGCAGCTAGTTGGTGTTTCCGCGTTATTACGTAATATGTACATAAAAGAGAATTTTGTCTCAATTGGGCAGAATTATCTTGCACCTATTTCGAAAGTTTCTTACGCAATTATATATTTAGCAGCCTTGGTTACAAATTGCCCAAACTGAAGCTCTGTGTTCTCTATTATGTTAAGACGAGGAACTAATTAACAAGACTACAGGCAAGCCCCCTTTAGCTCGTCCCTTAAACTTGGCAAAAGTAGTCAAAGTAGTCATCTGAGTGAAATTTTGGGGCCAAGGCGAGACTTAAACAAGTCTAATTCACAGGTGCCAGTCCGTCAGTGAGTAAGTGAGAAAGGTACGAAGAGGACTATAGGCTGGCCCTCTGGGACCAGCACAAAGGTAATCTCATTGATTCGATTACAAACAGAGCAAATCTGACAGTGCGAATAATGGATTGCTATTCTTTACAGGCCGCGCTCGATTCTAGTCATGTATAAATTCACGATATTTTCTACACATCCGACAATTACAATGGGAAACTTTTTCAAGAAAGAACATTTGACATAAACTTCACAGGTTCACAAATACATACACACACGCTTTTCTATGTAACCAATCCAGGAAAATGTGAAAAATGGCTTACTTTTTTTGACACGCCCTGTTAAATTCTGTATAGATTCAGATTTTGCTGAAGAATCTTTTGACATGACTATCACTTGAAAGGTTCACAAATTCAAACCTGAACCAGCCGATGAGTAACGAGTCCTGGTGGACCATCCGTGTCCATTGTGTGTATACATTGTTGATTTAAAGCTAAAGTCCATCATTTGCAGCCATCCGAAAAGTAACTGGCATAATTATTGTTGAAAAACAAACTTGGTTGAAAGATAGTAAGGGAACTAAACTCCCTGTGAAATTATTCTTTCTGGGAAGCTGTCATTTTGAAGTAATCAACGAAAGAAGGCATTTCCAACGGTGATTCTTAAGAAGCACCGTAGGAAAATTTAAATTAGTAGTTCGTTTTGTTATTCAGCGCAGCGCGCACAAGTATTGGAACGACACACACGCGCGCGCGGTTGTTGTAATTCGTCGGACCAGTGCGCGACGTCGCGTATAGCTGCAATTCAAAACAATTCGAAACGTGATTCAGTAACTTTTGATTTGAAATTGAGATCTTAGAATGCTGTTTTTCTCGGAATGTACAGCTGAAGCTTAGCTGAAACTTCATCAGGTTAGTTGCTCAGTATCCTTCATTGGATTTTGAACACTTTTGTTGCTTCAAACGAACAAAATGCACTAATTACAAATGATGGACTATAGCTTTAATAAACAGACCGATCCATTACGCCCCGCCCACAACGCACACGAACCTCTTCAATGCCTTTTACTGCATGATCAAGACGTATACGTGCGCGTCTTACGCACGCGCACGCGCACGAGCACGCATGTCGAGCGTTAATCGTGGTTGTCATTGGTCAGAATATCGCAGGGCGGGGCTTACTGGATCTGATTATTGGTTCCAGGTAATAGCTACTAGTCATTTCATTCTCACCGATAACACGATCCACCTGTTCGTATACGACGTTGTTTAAATCTTCTGAACCTCTGCTCCCTGCGATGTCATCGTCCTGAAACGTCGGCGTCATCGTCTCCTTTGGAATTGTCGTTACCAAGTACGGAACGACTGCAAGCTCCATGTCTGGTGGTTGATTTCCCGCGACTGGTGTGACTGTTTCCCTCTTTGGATCGTTCCCTCGCCTCTTGACTGTCTGTTGACGCTTCCTTATGCACGCCAGGGAAACCAGAAAGCCGACAACAAACGATGCAGGGATTCCCACTGCAGCCACAAAATATCCCGTCTGGGTTTCATCGGTGCCTGCGCGAGTAGGAGGGAAGTCTGATGAGTGACAAATTCCACCGATGAAAATGCCTGATGTCGGGTGCGCTGCATCGGAGGAGGCTCTCGTGGTGATATCCGAAGCAGAGGAAGTCACAGCTGTTGCAGAAATCGAACAGGTCTGGCTCCGGCCCGGAAATGCAGGACTCTTGACCGTACAAACCAGGACCTGCTTCTGCAGCTCTCGGCTGACTTGGTACGAACTCCGGACCCATTTCCGTCCGCTGGTATCCGTGCTCATTTCAGCGATGGTGACCGAGACTACTTGGCCAGTCTGCTCATCCGTCCAGGTGATGTTCACGCCGGGGAAAGCATGCTCAGTCTTGTACAACACCAAAGTCTGATTAGTGCAATTGCCCGTTGACCAGCAATTAGGGATATCATTTTGGAAACCTTTCACAGACACTTTCAACGCACCGTCAACGTATGGCATTGCGTTGTTAAATGGACTTAGCTTCCATATAGCCCGGCAAAAGTAATGTCTGGCGTCCGTCACTGCTACTGGACTTATTCGAATAGTTTAATTACGGTAATAAATGTTATTCCTGGTGAAGTTTGCGCTCCTTGATACAGAAACACGAGAATCATCCGTCAGTGTACCTTTGTTTTCGGTCAGATACACATAACCGCTCTCACTTTCTATTCCCCACCAGACTTCCCGCAACATGTTCGTTGGAACAGAGCAACGTAGAAGTAATGTTCCACCTTCTACGGTCGTAACAGATCCAGTTGGTGGTTCCTGCGAGCCTCGTGTCAGTATCATAACGCCGTCTCCCAAGCCTTCATTGAAACCAAACAATGTCGCAAAAAGAAAGCATCCTAAAACAACTTGCACGTGAGACGGAATGATCACAGATGATTGATTCCGTGCCATATTCACCGCTAGGTTCCCCGATTAAGATGTTGCAAATCTCAACCAAAATAATGTCTCGGTCCGAGCTGAAAACTGCTGGAAAGAAGCGGACTGTCCAGGAAGAAATTGGCTCCCTGCTCTCTTAGTATTTATTTTTGTGATGTACTGTCGTACGTTCGTATGTACAGGTTTTGGACTGTGTTCACGTCTTGCCTTTGCTTTTTCTCTATGGACAGAATGGTACAATACCTGAGGTATGAACATGGAGTGAACTGAAGCCTATATATAACGTGGGCGGGATACTTACTCATTTGAAATGATATAATCGACGTCTGTTTTTTTAATAAACATTTCCTGTGTTTGCTATGTATAGGTTTTTGTATTTCCTTATTTGCCCATCTGTTCATGTTCGTTT